TAATCTGATAATCCCCCATTAAAATTTCTACAATAATGGTATTCAAAATGGCATATTCTTGTCCATTCTATTGCATTAAATTTGTCTTTGTAATGTTCTTGGAGAGTTGTAATTGTGTCTGTTTGATCAAGTTCATCAGAAATCACACTAAGATTTGTCAATTGCAATTTACATGAAATTTCCACATACAAATCATATAAAGAAGTATTATTTTTATGTTGTATACCGTTGTCAATAAGTTTATTGTTTATTTCAACAGATAGTTTCTGGCAGAAATTTATGCGATCACTATATGAAAAAATATAATTTAATATAGATACACTTTTAACATAAATCTTCTTGTCAATTTCCTTCACGTTTTGATGAGTTCTTTTAAATGCACTTAAGACATTGTGTTTCTTCAGTTTAATGTTATCTGTTTTCATACAGGTTGAATATTTTCGAAGCCAGACACTTTAAAAACCATCTTAACCTGGGGGAAAATATAACAATGTTTTAATTATAGTACTATAAACCTGATTTTTCGTATCCTTTAAATCAAAATTGAGTTCCAATATTGTAGTTATTAGTATAATTTATTCAAGTCAATATCAAAATATAAGTGTAAATATATTACGGGTGGTGTAAATAAACAAATAAAATCAATTATAGGTGGGTGTAATATCAAAATATAAAATAAATAGAACTATCATTATGAGAGATATCTGATGTCTGAAATCATTTTAAATATAAACTATCCTTCAACTTTTGCACTGAATCAAGTATTAATTTGATATTATAAATTCGTACTTTTCAGTTCACTTAAATCTAATATATATATAAAGTCAAATGAAATATATTGTTAAATTTGATTTCATCTAGAGAAAACATACATAAATCATGATACAATAATTTGATAGGAAGTCGCGATGGTTAAGTGAGTAAGACGCTGGCTCGCTAGCCTAGAGGTCCCGGACCTTAAACCCCATTTCATTTCCTAATTTGATATTTGACATAAATCGACGAGTATTTTAAATCGCTATTATTTTACTAAACAAGTATTTACTAAATATTTTAAAATCATACCCATTGGCTTAGTAGAATTGTGATATAAATCAATGAAATTAAAAAAAAGGTTATTTTACTTAAATAGCTGGTATAAAGTAGAAATATACCTTCTATTAAATCATATCACCGATGCTATAATAACTACCTAATCAATATCAAATCTTATTCTTACACTTACACAATTCATACAATATAAAAACATAAATAATATGAAATAGGGGGCGGGGGGAACATTCCATAGTTTTGCTCCGACTTGGCAAATAAAGACGGGCATACGCCATACAGTGTGCTTTGAGCTATAATTTGCCCAGACACCGGCTCTACAGCCTACTAAATTGAATTCCAACTGCCATGGGATCTTTTACTTTTGCTCCAATGTGTACACAGGTTTTTCATCCAATCCGAATGACTATACGTTATCCCTTGGCAGGCCCTCGTTCGCGCCACTGACAAGGAGGAACCACTCCGGATAATCCCAATCAACTTTCTTCCACAACGCAGGGATCGAACATGGGACCTCCAGGTTAGCGAGCCAATGTTTACCTCACTGAGCCATCATGACTCCCGAAATAAAGTAAAAACATTTTACATACAATAAATAAAGAGACTTACCTTTAAATCAAAACAGAGTTCTAATATTGCAGTTATTAATTCAAGTGACGATTAGATGTTCGTTGTCATTTGTTCCTGAGGTTTTACGTCCACTTGCACCAAGGATGATATTCTAGACAAGACGATTTAGACTAATACTACTACCTGGTGCTTTAACGTCTGCTTCCACAGAAGTGATGTCACAGAATATTTGTCCGCGAATTTAAAGGCTGGAATTTCCAGCCTACTTATTTTCTAATAATTTGATTAGTGGATGTGTAATCATTTTTCTAAACACCATTGGAAAACTAGAGGTTTATCCATTGATTGGTTAAAAACCAATCTTGACTAACTTAAATCCTTCAAGTGTCATATTGAGTAATTTGTATATAATTAGTGTTAAGCTGTTAATAAAAATGTTATATATAAAAAGAGCTTTTTATTTTAGAAATTAAAATGTTGTCATTTGATACTCACAATGGCAGGTTTATAGCTATCAACACTTATCTAACTGAACTATTTATATCAGGCCAATAATGCCACTCAAGTTGGACATGTTGTTTAGATTAGCATTCCAGGCAATTAAAAATCAGTGAACCGGGCCAAACCCAAACATCCAGAATTTAGCTCTTTTTTCTAGATGGTCCTAGGGGTGTATAGAGGGATACTCGTGTTTTCCTTTATTGTTGAAACATTTATTACTCATCTATCGTAGCAATGATCTCTGTGATAAAATAATATTTGAAACGTGTTTAACCAGTTCTATCACATATGTGATACTGACTGGCACCAATATTGTCCTTTAAGGGTGTATGGCTCTCTTTAATTCAAATTGGCACCTTAAAGGAGTTAAATCGCTAATATTTGGAACCTAGAAATTGACACAAATGGGTCGCAACGCATATAATAATGTAATGTGAATGTATATAAACTGATTTACATTCAACCGTTTCTGTTTTTACTGTAATTTCTAATCAGTTATGTTCGGCGAAATACGCCAGAAGTCTCAATTGAATGGCAATCTTTAGCGTCTGGTTATTCCAGTCTACACCGATGATATTTATTGCGCGTGCTCTCCAGATAAGAATATAGCGTCACCATTTGACATGACTTGTGGGGATATGTCTAGTCGCGTTCTTTGAGTCCCCTGTTCCAAATGGCGCTGAAACGCATTATGGTACACGATTCGTGTACCAATGGTAAACTGTTTATTTTGTCTTGAATATTGGATATCAGAAGCCCATCTTTTCCCTGTAAGATCACGAGACCAATGTTGATTTGCATTGACAAATAATTCGTGTTTTCAATGTCGAAGATTTTTGATGATATTGAGTTAGAGACTTAGCTAATTTAAAATAGACCATGGACCTTATAAAACATAAGGTCCATGAATAGACGAAATGGGTCTAAAAGCACATTATGAATGTATATAAAGTGATTTATAATCAATTTTAAAAAAAATAATATTATAATTTTTTAACCAATTACGTTCGGTGAAATACACGAACAGTCCAGATTGAACGACAGGCGTTTGCGCCTGCTTAGCCCATTTGTTAGTATTTTGTGGTTATTATTCTTAATTACCCCCGCGTTGTCTTAAAGGGACAATAACACTTTTGCTGGCTTGAGAGAGAGAGAGAGAGAGAGAGAGAGAAATGGGGTTTAACGTCCACTCGACACAAACTAGGTCATTTCGGGACTAACATATGGTTTAATGTTATTTCAATTATAAGCTTGCGCGTAGGGGTCTTTTAGCAGTGAGAGGAAACCGGAGGGCCCGGAGAAAACCCACGAGGTTGGATTTTGATGGCTTGACAGCTCCAGAAAATAAAAAATAGGCTTATTCTAAGTACTAGATGTGTTAGTGTCCTACTTGTTGTGTAAATTATCCATTACATGTAAATCCTATTTTACTTGTCCAGAGGGTTCAAAAATATTTTTAAATCCAAGTCACATTTGAAAAGCTTTACGTCAGGCTTTTCAAATCATTTAGTTGAAATTTTCCAATTTTTTAAATTAGGTGTGTTAAGATGAAATTTGTATCATCAATTAATTGGAATATTGTAAAATAGTACAATTTGTTGACCAGAATAAATATTGGGACATATTATTCAGTTATAACAAGAGTGGTATTGAGCCTGTAAGGGATATGTTTTCCTTATTTTATTTCAAATGGCGCTAGAAACCATTATATCCGTAGAATACACGACTCGTGTAGGTTACTGATTATAAAATGTCCATTTTGTCTTAAATATTGAATATTAGGATCCCATATTTTCACGGCAAGATAACATCAGTATTGATTGAAATGGACCAATATTGAATTCTAATTCGTGATTTTAATGGAAAATAGTCTATGGAGTTAGAGGTGCCGGTATATATTTATTGTAGGGCCTAAGCTTTTCGCGCCAATGGTCATTGATCAGAATAATAATAATAAACAGTTTATATTTGAAAATTTGATAAATTATAGGCCTATCTAATCTTTCAAGCACCGCTTATTGTCATTGTATATATGTGTGTGGTTTTTCTTTGTGTTTATTTTTTGGTTGTTTTTTTCTTTTCTCCTGGGATTATAAACTATTTTCTTCAAAACATGCGGTTGGGGCTGTATGCATGGATGCATGAGGCTGTATAGGCTATCAGAATAATTTAATAAATAAATAAAGGCATCCGTTGAAATAAATTATAAGTATACCTCTATAGGCTACAGCTAACTCATTATAAAATTAAAAGTAATTTTAGGCCTATATGCGAATAGGCTACACATGACAATGTATCAAGCTTTTTTTTTTTTTTAAATGGAGTTTAACGACCACTCGACACAAACTAGGTCATTTTGGGACTTACACATGGTTCAATTTTATTTCAATAATTCGCTTGCGCGTAGGCCTAATAGTAATATAGGTGTCTTTATGGAGGAAACCGGAGGACCGGGAGAAAACGCACGAAGTTACAGACATGCGACCCTATTCCTTAGTCCTTGCCACGTAGGCTACAACCTGGGAATCGAAACCACGCCAGTTGACTGAATGACAAACCATCCAAACGGCCCTTATAAAATGATAATATAGGCCTAATGACTATGCATCATAAACTAGTAGTATTGGACATTAATATGAATGTTGGCGCGAGATATTACGTCATAGTTGCTACGTCAAGTAATCATTCTTGAAAAAGACAATGGATTTCTCCGAATTTTTAATTAGGCGAAAATTCTTTGATAGTCCTGGGAAGTCACCGACACGTCAATGTATTGCATCAAGACCTGAGCCACAAATGAGAAGGTAACTCAAAGCTCGTGTCTTTATTTTTAGCCGCCTACTTCGGTTGTTTCATTGGTTGAAGCGATATATTCAACCAAATTCAAACACCGGAAGTGTAAAATCCAGGCCATCTAGCTGCAAATGTTCGGGTTTATTTTTGAAAGTAATCTTGTTTTGTAATCATGAAACCGGCGTAAGTATATTTTACACGTTTTATATAATATATAATTGCCGGACATCGGTGATCATTTTTAGTCAAAATATTGAAGAATACGGTACCAAATATGCAAGGATTTCGTTTCACAAACAAAGAAGTTGGCAAACGTAATTCGTGTCATTGATTCAATGAATCATAGAATGGCGATAGCCGCCGTTTTTTTTATTATTTATTTTGCACGCCCATGCATCAAACATAAAGCATGGTACTAGTCCTAATGCGTACTGTGTGTGCAAACATTTATAATACTAATTTAAATTTTCAGTCGAGGAAAAACACCAAAGAAGAAAGGAAATTCAACTCAGCAAGATCCTGTTGAGGTATGATTGTTTACAATTACATGCAGTAAATGTCCCCACGGATCTATAGATTCTAACAAAGGCTATTACTATAAAGTGCCATTTGACGCAGTAGTGAATTGACAGGTCTAGTTTATACTGTTGCCTAGAAATGGTACCACTACTGATGTCTTCCGCCTAGCTTACTCCAGCCACAGTAGTGGCTCGTCCTTACGGAGTTCCTTTGCGCAAGTTTTTTAGTGAAATCACTACAAAAAGTTTACTGGCCTATACCTCCCTTAATTTACACATAAACTGACCCAAAACAGTACTGCACTTAGCTTAACATATAATAAATCAATTCCTATTGAAATAAAGGTTTAGCCTTACCGCATAATTATATGATTTGATGAAACTCAACTGCTACGCGAAATTTCAACAGGCTGGTGTCATGACCGCTTGTGTGTAATACGTCATCACAAGAAACACCGCTATGCAAATGTAGAACGCATAACCACAAAGAAAAACTGTTTGGTAACTGTTTAGTGGTCCAGTCTTCACTATTTGTCATAGAGTTACTTATTCCAATACAAACTGTAATGATATGTGTTGACAACTGTGCGTTTGAACCTATTTGAACTTGCGTAAGGATTCTTAGACTGTATCAATTGTAACGTTAAACACACAGTTTAACGTTACAAGTATAGTAACTAACTGTTGCCTAGAGCTAGTACTGTATGTAATAAACCATTTCGGTTAAATTAGAAATGGTTCCACTACTGATGATGTCTTCCGTCTTGCTCCAGCCACACAACAAGACACCACTACAATATTTGAATATTGCAGCTAAGGTTCATTCAGTCAAAGACAAAATTTAAACCTATTTCTTGATCTAAAAATAGACACTGTCCGGAGTCTTAATTTTAAAATTCTGCCAGAAATTCTTTTTAAGATTCCTGTGTGGGTGAACAGTATTTTGATAGGGTGCCAGTTAACTCATACACAAGCAAACTCGTACACATGAAAAGTCTAGTTAAGTCTTCCACAAATATCGAAACTTGTTGGTTCACACGTCCACATGACATAGTTTAATTTCTGGATATAGAAATACGTTGGTTGATTTGTCCACGCGACATTGTTTAATGTTAGGGACACAGAAAGTATTCATAGACAGTATAATTTAGTGTACTGGGTGGTGCTTTATCATCAGTACCCACATGGTTTTCGTAATGTTTGATATGATACATTATGATGAGTTTAATTTTCTTTACGTCAATTGGCAGACCATCGCCAAGCTAGAGCAGTCTCGTTTATGAATAACAAACAACAAATTTAAACACTGGGTGTTCACAGGGAGTAGGGGGTTGGATGGCTGAATGGTTAGCGTGCGCGCACTGTATCATAAAGTCTGTCATTGAGTCGACTGGTGTGGTTTCGAATCCCCGGTTGTACGTGACAAGGAGTAGGATCGCCTGTCCAACCTCGTGGGTTTTCTCCGGGTCCTCCGGTTTCCTCCCACTGCTAAATACCCCTACGCAAGCGAATTGTTGAAATAAATTTAACCCAAATGTTAGTCCCGAAATGACCTAGTTTGTGTCGAGTAGATCCAGTAAGTTGCCTAAAGTTGTGAAAATAGGCCATGTGGCAAATGGAGACGGTCCAAACAATTATCACATTTACTGGCCTAACCTGGGAGGGTCACAGGTTCTCTCCCGGTGTTGGTCGAGAAATTTCTCTCATCATAGCACACTGTATGGATGCCCGTCTTCATTAGCCCGGTCGGAACAGAACAGTAGGACGTTAAACCCCATTTCATTGCATTTACTGGTAATTTTGATAACCCCGTAATACTTAACCGACTGATATCGCAAACTATTAGATTCTGCACTATAAATAGGCACAGAAATACGAATGATGCCATTCACTTATGGCGGTATGATTAGATTCAAAATTTTAAATTTATTAATGTTGTGCTATCGTCTAATTTCTAACTCCTATTCATGTAATTTCTAAATTATGACAAGGTATAATCCAATTTCTTTATTTGTTCAGCATAAATTTGAATTCTATTTCTATTTCTAGTCCAGGTCAAATTTGACCTGGACTTTCAACCATCACCCCATAACTTTAAAAGGCTGTCATCTTGGCTTGGACTATCAACCTTTACCGGCTTTACCTTGGACCATAAACCTTTACCTTGGTCCTTTCACACTCGGCTTGGTCAGAAAATGGTCAAACACAGAGGGCCTGTGTTCGAAAGGAAGTCAACATTGGGCAGGAAGCTCAGTGTGCAGGAATCCGTCTTAGTGTCTAGTTATTCGAGTCTAAATAGTCAACAAGTAAAATGGCGACGATCATAACTACTTATCTCTCACCAGAAACTAAAAGGTTGGTGAAATCAAAAGTCATTGATGGACTTGGCTGACATTTGGTGTGAGGTCATCGCTAGTCCCCTTTAACATCCCCTGAAAATTTCACCAATTTTCAAGGCTTATTTTTCTTCTGACGACACTTTTCACATTTTGATAATTTAAGCTTGGGCATTGATTCAATGATTCAATTGATTGATTCTCTGTTTAGAAACAGAATAAAGAAGAAAAAATCTGTTCCCATACATTTATGAGCTATATCTGTAAATTTGTGTTATAGTTATGCATTAGAAGAAGAGTAAGACTGGTGTGTGTACACTGTATGTCTATTTATAACAATTGTCTCTGCACCGTTTCAATGGCAAGTTTTGTTGAATTTTTGGTCAAGAATCAAAGTAGAGTGTTTGAAATTGAATTTACATTATCTGCCAAGTTTAAGTGAATATTCATGTTTCTGAGGTGAAAAGGTCAGGTGAACACGGCTGTCATATTTGAAAACCAACTTAGTTTTTGATAAATTGCAGGTTTACTGTAGAATTCGACCAGCTGGTAATCCTGAAGATGACACATGTATTAAAGTTTTAAGTGAAACTACTGTTCAACTATTACCAACTGATGTGAGTATTAATTATAAGCTGCTGGCTGTTACGTTAGTGAAATAGAATAAACATAATTTTACAGTTGTCCGAACATTATGCAATAATATTTTTATAAAGACTGATTCTGTTCTGATTGTCTGATCTAGTACTACTGAATAAGTAGACATATTTTATTTTTCCCTGTATATTTCTTTTTTTCTATAGCATGGACGATATGATTTTTCAGTAAGTTTTCTATGTAAAAACAACTATTGTGTTGTATAGTCCGATTGGGTTTGTTACATAATTCTCATCCGTCGGCTTTTCGGGTAGAAATCGTGGAATAAGCTCTATTTTGAAGGTTTCAATGTTTAATGAAAAAACAAAACAATGTTGACATTTTTTCTGAGTAGGTCTTCATAGTATGGGAGGCTATTATTTGAGGGTAGCCATTTTGCGATAATATTTTAATTTATTTTTTTTATTTTTACCTCATTTATAATGTTATCGACATATCAACTGTGATTTGGGCCACATTTGGCAATGTATTTATATTGGCAGGGGTCATGACGATATTTCAGATTTTTTTCGATCACTTCATGAAGATATTTCCAAGATGGCGCCATTTTTGGTGGGAAAAACGGATGATGTGCCTATTTCGATTCAGTAGTAGTGTTTGGTGTCAATAAATATGTTTTCGGGGGCACTGATTCAATTTCTGCCAGTTACAACTGTGTAAAACGATCACATGTAGACCTATTTTGCATATTTCCAAGATGGCGGCCATTTTCTGGCGGGAAAATGGGACAATGTGCTGATATTGATTAAGTGGTCGTCTTTGGTGTCAATATGTATCTTTTCAGGGGCACAGATTCCATTTCTCCCAGTTATACCTGTGTAAAAAGATCACATGTTCATCTATTTTGCATATTTCCAAGACGGTGGCTATTTTTTGCAGGAAAATGGGACGGTGTTCAGATATTGATTAAGTAGTCGTCTTTAGTGTAAATATATCTGTTTTCAGGTCGCAGATTCCATTTCTGCTGTTTGCAACTGAGTAATATGATGACATGTTCACATATTTAGCATATTTATAATATGACTGCCATTTGTGGTGGAAAAATGGGACGATGTGCTGATTTTGATTAAGTACTTGTGTATTGTGTCAGTATCTTTTCTAAACGCAGATTCGATTTCTGCCATTAACAACTACGTGAAATGATGATGGTATGTTCACTCATTCAGCATATTTTCAAAATGGCTGCCATTTGTGGCAGGGCATTTCTAAACACATTACTGAAACGGTTTCTGAATCTAATTCTGCTCTGTATACGCTTGTAGCATGTTCCTGGAAGCATTGTCGTGTTTTACCCATTAGGTATATTATTCAATGTTGAAAATTCCTCATCCGAGTTGACCTCTGAGTGCTAGTGTATAGATTTTCCAGGAAAAAAGTGCAATTACTTGGTCAATCAGTCTCAGTCTGTTTTTAAGACTTGGTGATGCCTCAAGACTTTCAGTTTATGTTATCTGTTAGTTATGTTATAGATACAATTTTAACAAAGTTTAAAAATGTGAGACTTACAATTTTGAAAAGGTAATTAATAAATTAAAAAGTAGAACAGAAATGTGTGATATTAAATATAAAGCGGTATACAAAGAAATATATACAGGGACTGCAAATGAAATAGTAACACTTGCTATAAAAAAACTTCCTGGCATAGATTATATTATCAACTGACATGAGCTGCGTGTTGAAGGAGTCGTCCAAAGGAATGCTGTTGCAAACAAACTATATCACTGATTAAACGACGACGTGATCCGTCATCTATGACATCACTGCCGTCACCATTGAAAGAACTGGTGGCACTTGCAGTGATGTAAAAGTAGCTGGCCACATCGTTGTGTAGGTGGTGACATACTTTATGTTTCCAACGCAACAGTACTCCACATGCTCGTTCCACATTCAGCTTGGAAGTCAGTTGATAACATAATCTATGTCATGAGGGCTGAATCTTAGCAAGTATTACATTTACAGCCATGTCCCCATCAGCCTCAACGACGTTGCCGCCAGGCTGGCACAAAGCTCCTAGTCACATGCTTGCTACGCTGTTACGACCTTCTTGTATACATTGTATAGGGACGGTACTGAGCCTCGTCCATCAGTTCCAGTCTAGCATCCTAAGAGGAAACGTCAAGAAACTAAAAAATGTTCTTGGTTGCTTGACGTTTGGTTGTTCTCTGCTTTGAAAGTGAATGAGGACGGAGTGAGCATGGCACAGTGCAGTCACTATAGGCGCGGTGAAAAGGTCCGTCACACTTTTTGGGACACAATAACTCTCTTTCTAAATGAGCTAGAATGTTCAAACTTGGTGTAGGTGTTTATTAGGTCGTGGCCTTGATGGAGTTCGAAGATGAGCATTTTCTGCTTAGGGTAAGCAGTCTGCAGAGATAAGCAATTTGATTGGTTGATGATTTGAGACACGATAACTTGTGTTCTAATTAAGTAAGAGCGAGGAAACTTGGTATATAGTTTCATTACATCAATATCTTGACTAAGTTCAATAATGAGCATTTTCTGCTCAGGGTAAGCAGAGCTATAAGCAATTTGATTGGCTGAGACTTTGGAACACATTAACTCTCCTTCTAATTGAGCTAGAATGTTCAAACTTGGTGTAGGTGTTTATTAGGTCAATGCCTTGATAGAGTTCGAAGATGAGCATTTTCGGCTTAGGGTAAGCAAAGATAAGCAATTTGATTGGTTGATGCTTTGGGACACGATAACTTTAGTTCTAATTATGTGAGAGTGTTGAAATTTAGTGTATAGTTTTATTACAACAATACCTTGACTAAGTTCGATAGTGAGCATTTTCTGCTCAGGGTAAGCAGAGCGATAAGCAATTTGATTGGTTGAGACCTTAGAACACAATAACTCTCATTCTAATTGAGCTATAATGTTCACACTTGTTGTAGGTGTTTATTAGGTGAATGCCTTGATGGAGTTCGATGATAAACATTGTCTGCATAGGCTAAGGATCGATAAGCAATTTGATTGGTCAAGACTTTTGAACATAACAACTCGGCTTTTAATTTAGGTAGAATGTTTAATCTTGATGTAGATGTTCATTAGTTCAATGATTAACATTTCGAGCTAAAGCTAAGCAAAGCTAAGCAATTTCATTGGTCAATGCTTTGGGACAAGATAACTTTGATTCTATCTGATAGAAAGTGATGCAACTTAGTGTGTAGGTAATAATTTCTTTGATTGCTTGATACTTTTGAAAAAAATAAATGTGCGATTAATGAATATGTGTCATCTATTTATTTTGGGATTTCGGTGGGGGACATCAGCCTCACTGTTGGCTTGTTTACTTTGGAACCATACTCAGTATTACTCTATCAGCTGAAACAGGAATAAAAGTTGTCCTTCATATTTGAAATAAACCTCTCTATCAGGGTCATTAGGGGGCGTTCTGAAGTACAGAAACCAGGCGATATTCTCTTCTAAAGGGCACTTTTTATTTATGGTCAAGTGTGGCACTATTCTCACGAAACAAATCAGTATTCAGTCTTTTACTAGTTCTATAGAGATTTTGTGATGTGTTCAGCTTGGAAACCATTCTGGAGTAGGAACCCAGGGGATTATTTGTTCTGAAATTGTTTTATTTACTTTGGGACCATACCCTATCAGCTGAAAAAGGAATCAAAGTTGTCTGTCATAATATTTGAAATAAATTTACGTACTCGTGTCACTAGGGGGTGTTCTGAAGCCAGAAGCAAAGGGATTTTTTGTTCTGAAGGGCACTTTTAAAGTTTGTATTGGCAACATGAACATAATATTATGTAGCGGAGATTAACTTTGTCCGCAAAAATTTGAATTAAATAGACTTTTTCCGCTATTTCGGGGGCGTACAGCCCCTAAACCCAGGGAATGCGCAACTTTAGATTTCCCATTATGATCATCGACCATCATGGTGCCACCGTTAGGCATAGTGCCAATTTTGTCTGCGAGTTTAGGAACAATGGTCAGCTACATGTAGCTCCCCTACTAAGATGGGAAAAAATTTGAATACTAATACAGTGCCAAATCACAGTTGATATGTATGTCGATAACATTATAAATAGGGTGAAAATAAAAAAAAATATTATCGAAAATGGCTACTCTAAGATAATGGCCTCCAATACCATGAACACCTACTCAGAAAAAATGTCAACAATGTTTTTTTGTCATTAAACATCGAAACCTTCAAAATAAAGCTGGTTCCACAATTTCTACCTGAAAATCCGACAGATTTACATTAAGGATCGGACTATGTAATGTAATTAATAGTAGTGACAAATGGTAGGTCTCTAGTAAATGCTGGCTGACTGTTACATGTAAATTCAATAAGCTTACATGCTCTTAGTAGTGTAGAGGGTAGAAATTTCTTACTTTTTTTCTTTTTGAAATTAAATTTGATACTTTAAGTTTAATTATGTAAACCTTCTCCACCAACAATTTTGCATGGCTCGGTAAACTTACTGTGCCATTGATGTAATTTAACTGTAAGCTTACATCATGCATTTAAGTACATGTAGGACATGTGGCCAGATTGGATGCAGTATTTTGCACAAGAAAATTTCATTTTCTCAATTGTAATCTTAATATTATGGATTTAACTTTTCTGACTTTGGATAACCTGAGCCATGGTGATTGAAAAGTGTTGGACATGTTTTACATAATTCCAATATGAATTTTTCATTTACATTTTATTAGGCTTTACTTGAATGATGAGATGTGTATTTCTTTTTGTGCATGCTATATTTATTATTTAATTATAGGGTGCTACAGTTAGAAATGGACAGGTTAAAGAGGTAGTGGTTCTTTTTTATTTTTTGTTAGATTTAAGATTGCTTTCTATATTGAAAATAAATCCTTATTTCTTTACTTTATCGAATGTTTTAGTTGAATTTTAGAAGAATAATAATTTATTTTTATACGCCCACATTGAAATGTGGTCACATATTGTCGTCACCCCCGTCCGTTTGTCCGGGTGTGGACGCTCTAGAGGCTATAGTTAATATCCGATTGACTTTAAATTTATATACAGTGTTTAAGGCCATGAGACGAAGAAGCCTATTGATTTTCAGCGATTTCCGATAATTACTGCCAAAGTAATGGCCCTTGATCACTTCAAAAAATCTTGTCGACGCTCTAGAGGTCAACGTTAATATCCGATTGACTTTAAATTTATACACAGTGTTTAAAGTCATGAGACCAGGAATCCTATTGATTTTCAGCGATTTCTGATAATTACTGCCAGAATTATGGCCCTTGATCACTTTGAAAAATTTTGTGGACACTCTAGAGGCTAAAGTTAATATCCGATTGACTTTAAATTTATACACAGTGTTTAAGGTCATGAGACGATTTGCGATAATTACTGCCAGAGTTTTGGCCCTTGATCAAATCAAAAAATCTTGTGGATGCTCTATAGGCTAAAGTTAATATCCGATTGACTTTGAATTATACACAGTGTTTGAGGTCATGAGACGAAGAATCCGATAATTACTGCCAAAGTTATGGCCCTTGATCTCTTTGAAAAATCTTGTGACACTCTAGAAGCTAAAGTTATCATCCGATTGACTTCAGATTGATACACAGAGTTTAAGATCTTGAGACGAACAAGTATATTGATTTTCAATGAATTTTTATAAAAGACTTGAACAGCTAAATCCATGATATTAAAAGTTTCGTATACTAAACGTTAGCATGGGGCAGAACTTTATAAAAACCAAACAAATTCTAATGGTTTTCTTATAATTACTTCAAATATTAGTGTATTATAAATGTTTCATTACCGAAAAAAGTAAAAATATGCGACTGCACTTGTTGACTGCCCGGACGATTTAGCTGCTGTGGCCGTTATGTTGAGGGCTCAGGCTGTCGGTCGCCAAAGTCGCAATTTGCGATAAAAATATGAAAGTGCCGATTAAAATTTGATTTTGCGATAATGTTTTGCGGTACTGGTGGAAAAAAATCTTAAAATTCTAATCGTATTATTCCTGGATTAACCATTAATTGACTGTCAATCACGTGGCGGAATACTATAAATTAATCAACTGCATGACCGATAATCCGGATTGCTTCTTGGATTAATGATTAGTTGATTGATAATTGCCAATGATGTATATAAAGCCTATCTCAAGTCATTATTTACTGATTAATCTAAAAGGTGATTATTTGATGTTTCGTTTCGTCTTTAAAATGATATGAAATGGGGTTTAACGTCCTACTGTTCTGCTCCTATGCTGGGCTAATAAAATGGTAATACATGTAATCAAAATGGCCGACAGATCCTTTCGAAGAGAATTAAATATTTTGATAGTTGAACTGTGGCTTCATATACGGCATATAAGATATACAAGCATGCCGATCTGATATCATTATATCACTGTTTGAAAACGTAAGAAAGAATTGAATAGCGACAATTCTTGAGCGAGAAATCATTTCGCCATATGTATCATATTACCACCACCAAAATGCTCTAAAGGTGAACGATGGGTATAATTGTAAGCATCTCTCACAAATATAATTGAAATTTATATCATTCTATCAGGGATTCAGATTCTGATACCTTTATGGTACCTGAAAATAACCACTATTGTACACGCAACACATAAATTTATAGAAAATTGGCAATCCTTGAATGAGATCTGACGTGTAAATTCTGAAAATATATTTTGCAATACGGTGTTCAAATAGACCAAAGTCACCAAAAACAAAAAAGATCTTATTAAATCCAAACTTTGTTAATGTATTATGTACAGACAGATTTTTAAAGTTGTTGTATATTGTATTGTAATTTGTATATATCGATAATTGACTTAGAATATTAATAAGCCTAGCTGAGACATAAAATCGTTAGATGTTGTCTTTTTTATCACACATTTTTGGCAGATAAAATATTCCAGTTGGCGGAAAAAAAATATAAACATTTTTTTATATAAAAATTATCATCCATTTTGGCGGAAAAAAAATTGAAAGCCAGTGTGAGCCCTGCGTATGTTTCGTTGCCTGGCAACCTATCTTTGAGTTAGATAGTATGTGCAGGAAGACCGTGCCACTTAACTAGAAAACAATCTAGTAGGCCATAAAACAGGCCCTATAAATAAGTATAAAAAAATGTTTTTTGGGGGCTAGACACAGGCTTTCGCTTTTATAGAGAAAACACAGATGACAAATATTTCCTTCAAAATTTGAAGGAAAAAAAAATGTGTGACAATCTAATTTAAAAAGCAGTAAGAAGATTAAACTTTTGCATTGCTGTTCAATTCAAAGCATTTTATACTTTTCTAATAAATAAAATGTCATCAATTTATATCACTCGGCCAGATATTGTTCTTGTCTAATACAAATTATTATGGTAAATACCTCAAGTTCATAAACTTACGTGATAATGTTTTTGTTTTATGGTAGTTTTGTTCTTTATTATATCTTCTGTTAATTATTAACAATATGTTTCATAAATATGTGATTTAATAGTTTCAGTATAAGTTTCAACATGTGTTTGATGAATACACATCACAGAAGGCTATATATGATTATGTGGCTTTACCAATGGTGGAAGATCTTTTACATGGTAAAAATGGTAAGAACACAAATTATTATTATTTTCTAGTACTAAAGGGTATGTTTGAATATTATACCAAGCCCTTAGACTTTTTACAGTCAGTCAAACAATGGGTATGCAGTTAGTAGTCGTCAGTCTGTAAAAATGACTATTATTTTCTGTAATTTCAACCCAATATTTTTAAAGTAGACTTTTGAAAAATGTTACTTTGTATAAATGTTTGTATTTATAGGTTTGTTGTTTACATACGGTATAACATCTTCTGGTAAAACCTATACTATGACAGGAACACCACAGGATCAAGGCATATTACCACGCTGTCTAGATGTTATATTTAATAGTATAAATGAACTACAGGTCAAAAAATATGTAAGTCTTCATAACAAGATTATTTTCAAAATGTGGACTATTATGGGTATACCAGATCCAAGTTTTAAAATTTTCACTGATACTTTGAAAACGAGATAAAAGCGAGCCCAAGAAAAGTACAATTGACGTATTATCTAAATTATCCATGCATGGATAATTAATGCTCATATTTATGCGGCCCATATACTTTTAAGTGTAATATTATAATAATTCAATTGTATTTTATTTTTGTTTTCTTAAATTGATCCGTTATTTGTTATTTTTTAGGTATTTCGACCAGATAAAATGAATGGTTTTGAGGTTCAGTCTGAAGCTGATGCTATGATAGAACGACAGAGAAGAGAAATACTACCTGGACTAATCACACCCAAAACACCAACACCTGCTACACCCAAACCACCGTAAGACTTGACACCAAATTATTTTTTTTCCAATACAAAATTACAACAGATGAGAAGTGATGAAATTTGTACAAATTTAGATGGAATCGGTGTTCTTCAGTCAAAATTCTTCAGTCTTATTTGCCATATTCTTTGGAGTTGGAATAATTTGTTGTCTTTAACAGTTTATGTTTCCTAATTTGCATGACTCTTGAATGATATCCCTTGTTTTACCCCATCTTGAGATTTTGGATGCCATCATATTTTTAAAAGATGGGTTGCCAGGCAACGAAACATACGCCCACAGCAGCTAAGTTGTCCAAGCAGTCAACAAGAGTTGTCGCATATTTTTTCTATTGTCAGTAATTAAACATTTATAATACACTAAAATCTGATTAAGAGTAACAGCTCATTAAGTAATTATCACAAAATCATTAGAATTTGTTTGGCTTTTAGTTCTGCCCCATGCTAACGTTTAGTAATTATTATATGAAACATTTAATATCATGAATTTAGCTGTTTAAGTTACCAAAATTCATTCAAAATCAATATACTTGTTCGTCTCAAGAGCTTAAACTCTGTTTATCAATCTGAAGTCAATTGGATGATAACTTTGGTCTCTAGAGCATCCACAAGATTTTTCAAAGTGATCAAGGGCCATAACTCTGGTAGTAATTATCGGAAATCATTGAAAATCACTGGGCTTCTTTGTCTCATGACCTTAAAATACTGTGTATAAATTTCAATGTTGTTGTATAAAAATGATTTTAAGCTTATACTTCATTCATGATTAAATTGATGAATTTAACAACATAGCTTCGTTAATTCCCACTTAGTTATGTACTTTTGACTATCTGATTCAGTTAGCATTCATATGATAAATTTATGTAGGTCTAAGACTGACAATGATTGGAATTAGTATATTTATCTGTAATTTATGTACGAATTATTTTCAGTAAATTTGGTGAACAAGCTAGATTACGAGATATGTGTAAAGTAGATGATATAGAAGAAGATAATAATTACTGTGTTTTTGTGTCCTATATTGAGATCTACAATAATTATGTTTTCGATCTATTAGAAGAGTTACACTATGACCCAATTACTGGATACAGGTTTGTAAACATACAGTGCAGAAATTTTGTCTCTTTAAAAAAAAAAAAAAGTCATCTAAAAACCATTTGATTTATTAGTCTTTACTTATAATGATGTTATACATGTATGCAGAGTGATATAATAACAAAGTTGTGTTTTAAAAAAAGAAATCAAAAGTATTCAGACCTATCAAAATTAAAAATAAAGATTCTAGTTTATGAAATAGAATATGGCAATTCATGTATTTCAGACCGCCTCAGTCTAAGATTTTACGAACAGACAATACTGAAAACATGTATGTACATAATTGTGTAGAAGTTGAAATTAAAAGTCCAGAAGAAGCATTTGAAGTAATGTATAAAGGTAAATTATACAAGATCATTTTGTATTCAGTACTGTCCTTGTTTCTGAAATGATTTAAGTTAAAAGAGGATACTGCCGGACTCACAACCAGAAAAGACTGATTCTCAGGAGTGATGCCTGCGGGGCTGACAAGGAAACTATGTTGTATTCAAAATGAAATTGGGTTTAAAGGAGCTAAATCGCTAATATTTGGGACCTACACATTGACACAAATGGGTCGCAATGCATATAATATTATGTAATATGGATGTATATAAACTGATTTACATTCAATCGTTTCCGTTTTTACTCTAATTTCAAAGCAGTTATGTCCGGCGAAATTCGCCAAAAGTCTCAATTGAATGGCAATCTCTGCGTCTGGTTATTCCAGTCCGATAGTATTTATTGCGCTTGCTCTCCAGATAAGAATATGGGGTCACCGTTTGACATGACTTGTGGAATATGTCTAACCTCGTTCTTCGAGTCGCTTGCTGCAAATTGCGCTGAAACGCATTATGGTACACGATTCGTGTACCAATCGTAAAATGTTTATTTTGTCTTAAATATTGGATATCAGAAGCCCATCGCTTCCCGTTAAGATCACAACACCAATGTTGATTACAATTGACAAATAATTCGTGTTTTCAATGTCGAAGGTTTTGGATGATATTGAGTTAGAGACTTAGCTACTTTAACATACCACTTTTCTGCAGGAACTAGGCTAATGAAGGAACTCTAACAGGCAGTGATGTTTACACCTACCCTTTACCGAATTTCAATTTTCATTACATCAGAGTGATTAGACACCGTTTCTTTCCAATCATCTGTCATATAGTTATACCATTGACAAGAGGATAGATACAAGGCTGTAGGATCTTGAGGATACATCTTCTTGACCAATGACCAAGACCCATTCTAATTCTAATTCTATTCCATTTCTTATGCAAGAATAAAACCCCAGAAATGTTGTTTTGTTTATGTAATTATTTGAACATGGATGACTCTTAGATGATTGTGAGAAATATTTCTAACAATTTTATTTTTGGTGTGTAAGCTTAGTGATATTTACAAATATTTCATTGTTTGACAGGACAGAAGAGAAGAAAGGTTGCCCATACAGCTCTAAATGCTGAATCAAGTCGTAGTCATAGCGTATTTAATATTCGTTTAGTACAGGCCCCTCTTGATCCACGTGGAGAGGAAGTTCTTCAGGTAACATATATTCTGATTATGAAATTATCTTTTGATTCGATGCCTTTAAGTTTAATTCTAACTCTGGTTTCATTTCCAATGATAAAATAATTGAAAATCTATTGGCTGCTTGAATTTGGGATAAAATAGCTTTGTGTCTTTGATATTTGAATAAACAATTAAAGGACTGAAAGCATGAAGCTTTAAATGACCATAAAAGAAATAAAGCTAGTTTGTTGGTGAATGAATTTTATTTTGATAATGAAATCCTACATACTTTAAAAACCCACAAGCTGAATTATTATTTATGTTAATTATATACCAAAAATCAAAAAGATAGATTGCCAGGCAATGAAACATACGTCTACAGCAGCTAAGTTGTCCGAGCAGTCAAGAAATGCTGTTGCATATTTTTTCTTTTGTCAGTAATGAGAACATTTACAAGACATGCAAATCTGATTATGAGTAATAACCCATGAAGTAATTATCAGATTGTTTGTCTCATGACCTTAAACAATTTATATTAACTTTAGTCTCTGGAGCGTTCACAAGATTTTTCAAAGTGATCAAGTGCCATAACTCTGGCAGTAATTATCGGAAATCGTTGAAAATGAATTGAATTCTTTGTCTCACGACCTTAAACACTGTGTATAAGTTTAAACTGAATCAGATATTAACTTTAGCCTTAAGAGCTTCTACAAGATTTTTCAAAGAGATCAATAGCTATAACTATTGAAGTAATTATCACAAATAGTTGAAAATCAATAGGCTTTTTCATCTCATAAACAGTGTGTATAAATTTAAATTCAATTGGATATTAACTTTTGCCTCTAGAGTGTCCACAAGATATTTCAAAGCAATCAAGACCATAACTCTGGCAGTAATTATCAGAAATCATTGAAAATCAATTGGCATCTACGTCTCCTGACCTAAAACACTGTGTATAAATTTAAAGTCAATTGGATATTAAGTTTAGCCTCTAGAGCATCAACATGATATTTCAAAGAGATCAAGGGCCATAACTCTGGTAGAACTATCGTAAATCGCGAAAAATCAATAGAATTCTTTATCTCATGACCTTAAACAGTGCGTATAAATTTAAAGTCAATCGGATATTAACTTTAGTCTCTACAGTGTCCACTAGATATTTCAAGAAAAATGAAACACAGACTTTTTGTTTAGAAACTTGATTGATTAAATAACATAATTGTTTTATTTATGTATAGGATCCTGAGAGAGTTTGTATTAGTCAACTATCTTTGGTTGATTTAGCTGGTAGTGAGAGAAGTAAGAGAACAGATAATATGGGTGATAGACTTAAAGAAGCTGGTAATATTAATCAATCATTGATGGTATTACGAACATGCATAGAAACATTGAGAGAAAACCAAAAAAATAATACAAATAAGGTGAGGCATTTTTTTTTTCTATATGAATGTAATTTTCAGAAAGATATGACTTACTACAATATATTCTGTAAAATGAGAATTTAACGATTTCTGAAGAAATTAGTCCGTGTTTGTGGAAACAGAAATGTGGCATGAGATTAATGTGTCCAGGGGGGGGGGGGGGGATTTACATTTGGAAACTAAAATGCATCTTCTCAGACTTTATATAGCAATACGAAATGTGCTGAGTACTCTACAACAGTGTTAAAGTGCATTACAATTTTCATTAGGAAATTGTTGCCTCCATAAACTCTTGTCAGTTTTGCTATGACGTGTCATGCATCAGCCAGGGTTTGCTTTCACATGCTTTATTAACACGATTTTACTTGCTGCTATCCTTTTTGAATATGGAGCGTTGTCAAAACTGTAAACCTATATTACTTATTTCAGATGGTACCATACAGAGATTCTAAAGTAACCCATCTATTTAAGAATTATTTTGATGGAGATGGCAAAGTTAGAATGATTGTCTGTGTTAATCCTAGATCGCAAGAATATGAAGAAACAATTGTAAGATTTTGTAACTATTTAAAATGTTCTGAGTGGGCTGCTGAACTTCTTTGTTTATTGACATTTAATTCCCACTTCAGCTGACTCTGTCTGCACACGATTTTCAGACATGAGAACAAGGGTTAAAATAATTTATCATTTTTTTCTTTGTATGGCTGAATGAGAGAATAGCCATGCGTGCCATAGCATAGTAGTGCACATGGATAAAAAAAAATGTAGTTAGCTAGAGCAGCTACCACTGTTGCTGTTTGGTTAGTGGTTTGTTTTTTCTACACTGAATTGTGTATGTAATATTAGGAATTATCATTATAATAAATGTTAGTCCCAAAATAGCCATTTTATTTTATTTACAGCATGTAATGAAATTTGCCGAGATGACACAAGAAGTAATGGTAGCTAGAGCTACACAAGTTAGATTTGATATTGGTTTAACACCAGGTAGACGTAAGCTTCATCAACAATATAAAGATGCTGTAGCAGCTAATGAAGTTGGTAGGTTTCATTTTTAAGTATACAATGAGAAGTGTTGGTTTACGTATTACTAGTAGTTTGTTGGTCTTTTTCATTGTGATTATATCTACATTCTCTAGTTTTATCTTTATGAAAAATGTATTCTTGTTTTTTAGCTGCACTGCCTGTGGTTCCATCTTTAGTATATAGTTTAGGACCATCGTTTCCTCCCATGGAATTACTTCATTCCTCTGATGATAAAACACTTAGAATATTAGAAGATTTCTTAAACGATCGCTGTAACAGGCGGCATACACTTAATACAGATTTTAACAAAAAAGGTACTTATATTTATTCAACTTTTTAATTTCTTGAAAACATAGACTAGTACCACAATTCTAAAGGATAATCAAATTGGGAATTGATAAATTTGTGTAAACAACTTTATCACTGGAACAGTGTTAATGTGACAAACATTCATGTAACAAAGTACTATCAGTTAATCTGGCAAGATGTGTTTATGCACACCCTGACTTTGGTATTCTAAACAGTATACATACTTGATGTATATAGGAGTCAGTAGCTAGTAAGCTACATGCATGATATGTTTCAAAGATGTTTCAGAGTATTTGAACTGTATGTCACTTTGAAGACCAGTAAACTTTAATGTTTTAACTCATTACTCTTTTAATATTGGATTGGACCGTTTGATTTGATTCTTTTTGATATTTTGTAGAAGAAGAATTCCGCGCTAGATTAGTAGAAATGGAGAGAGAATATTACAGATTAACATCAAAAAATGAACAGTTAATGAAAGATGTAGAAAAGAAAGAAAAAGACATGTCGAAAAATGAAAGTAAAGTTCGTGTATTGGAGAGGAAACATGAAGAATTCACTAAATATATTCAAACTTTAGAACGTGAAAACAGCATTATGAGTTTAAAGGTGGGTATCTTTCTTTCTTTTTTTGTCTGATATCAAATTAGCAGTTCGTTAAATTTGCATTGTTTGCTTCCAGTTATAATTAATCCAAGGGCAATATAGAAATGTCCTTACCATAGACTTTGTTTAACTTTTCATAAAAGCCTAATTTTATTTAAAATATACTTATATATTCAGTTGGAAGACAAGAACTGGAAAATTAACTTAGAAAAGACAGAAAGGGAACGAATGAAACATGACTTTAAAACAAGATTAGAAATGAACAATTATGCTTGGGAGAAAAATATGGTAAGTACATGTTGTGAGCGGCTGTGTTGATTTTATTGATAGTTTACTGCACTCGAATTGTGTTTGTATGTTGTTATCATCCCCACCTGCGTTTTATATATGATCCTATTACGTACAAAATGATAAATATGAGACTGCTCAGACAACTTAACTGCCATGGGTGTTTTGTTGCCTTTCAACCTATCCTTGACGTAGGCTGAGAGATTTTATTTTTTCACCAGTTATCCGCTATATGGCCGGCATTAAAACATTGTCAAATAAATCTGTTAACTTTAGAATAAGTTTGTTGTCTTTTTTTTTAGGACAAAGCTAAACAAAGAATAACACAAAAGGCTGATGAGCGGATTCATGAAAGAGAACAAAAGATTCAAGCTTTAAAGAAAATCGTAAACACACCACAAAGACCTACACCTGCACCTAAACCTCGAGCAACCCCTAGTAGTCTGTATGGTGCTAGATCAGAAACTGATGTATCTAACATTGGTTTTGGTAGTCGTGTAACGAGACAAAGTGCTATACCATCAGCTAAATCTATGCACAATCTTAACCAAGCTGGTTCTTCTAATATTCGACCCTCATCCGTGGTAAGATAATTTATATACCATTCTATTTAAAATAGAATTTGACTTTGTTAAAGAGAGAAAAAAGAAATATTATCCATTCATTATAATTGTTGAATTTAGTATTCGGTACATGTTTCTGTAGGGACCTAAAACATTGTTAAAAATTACTTCGGTTTCCTTGCTCTTACAAATTTTTTCCTTACATTACCTTTTCCCCTGTGATACCTGTAGTTTTTAAAGTGTCAGACTCGATATGATCATTGTTTATAAGGTGACATTGTGTCTCTTGCTTTTCATTTTCATTAATACAGAATTCCACTTGTTTATTAGAGAAATTTCTTATTTTTAACTTTTATTCAATTGATGTTTCAGCGAGGAGGGGCTTCACATAATACCAGATATCACAGACGTTCTAAATCTTCATCAAATGCAGAAGTATGGTTAGATCATCAACCTAAAAATCCTATTCCTTTAGGTAAGTTTTAAATGTTAATTTAATGGAATTGAAATACAATAAGTTTATTTATTATTATTTTATTTTTTATTAAAAACGAAAATCAGTGGTGACAACTTGAAATGACCAAGTGACAAGTAAATTTTACAAACATTTCAACCCCAGTCTGGAAGTGATTGGCAACGTCCTATGCAGTGTGGCCAGCGTCGAGTCTTCCAAGCGCCTGGTTCCTCTGAGCTGTAATGAGTCGTGGCATGCTGCTGACGTTGTAGTGTGAATGATTCAACCAGGTATGGGGGTGCATAAAATCATGGAGAACACATTACCAACTCAGAAGTCAAGTTGCGTCTATTCAGAGTAACATACCAACCTGACTTTTCTTTTGCTGCTTAGTATATTTGTGGGGCCAATGAATACACTGAAATCATTCATTATGTTGTGGGGTGATTAGATGATAGTAAAATCCAAAATGCCAGACAATATGACGCTTGAACTCGTTAGCAGCGGTTGGGGGCGAGTATTTCACAAAACCAAACTATATCTAGAGACAAACTGTATATCTGGACATAGGAGCATATGAGAGATACAATAACACTACACACAATGCCGATCAGTAGCTCCAGGGCCACATTGATCGACCCTGAAAAGAAATTCAAATTTTTTTTTTTAATATTTAAAAAAACAAATTCTACCCGCAAAACAGTTTTCTCCCGGTCTCCTCCCACTGCTAAAGTCCCCTACGTGCAAGCAAATTATTGAAATAAAATTGAACCATGTGTTAGTCCCAAAATGACATAGTTTGTGTCGAGTGGATGTTAACCCCATTTCTGTCTGTCTGTCTGTCTCTCTCCCGGAGAACACAAACACAGAACACGAAAATAACCTCCACAAAACTAGGTAATATTCAGTTTAATGTGCAACCTGTGACAGCACAAGTGCAAAATACTGTATAATCTAAGCCATCCCTAGTGCAGCTACAAGCATGCATACTATACATGGGCTGTCACTCTTGCATCCACATCTGATGAGCCACATGAGACTCTGAAGCACGGTGACCGGTTGTAATGTTCTCTTAACCCAGCAATATAGTTCTGGATCAAGTTCAGGCGGATTACGATCTTCCAGTCAATGCCACACAATAGCTTTGTGATGACATCTTTTTACGTTCCCTACACATGTATCATTCTTTGGAGCAAGACTACATGGTTTAGGTGGGGATGGTGACGATACATTTTCCATTTGGGATGCTTATACCCTCCATGTTTCAGGCATCGATTTGCTTCATAACAAGCTTACAATGGAATCATCAATCGAGGAAAGAACAACCGTTGACATTGGTTCAACTACTGAGAAATACATGTCCAGTACCATTGAATTCCTGCCAACTAATGTTTTTACTGGATGTGACACAGTTACATGCTGATATGTCGTGGGGAAAGGAACAACTTTAAAAGTGGCAACAGCTTGATTGCATTCTCTCTCTCTTGTCAGAGTAGTAGACACTCCAATAGAATCAATGCTTACACAGGCAACTGTGTATATATTGGCTGTTTATGGATATCGAAAACTGGAAATGTATTGTCATCATCCCTACCCAAACAATGTAGTCTAGCTCAACGAATAATGTATTTGCTCATCACCAAGCTATTGTGTGGCGTTCATTGGAAGATCGTAATCTGCTGGGAACTAGATCCGGAACTGTGTTGCTGGGTGACAGCCACTAAATTGAGAACATTACAACCGGCCAACTTGCTCCAGAGTCTGTCATTTGGCCCTGGAGCTCCCGATAGGCATGTATGTGGTGTTATCTTATCACTGAGTCATATGCACCCAAGTCCAGAAATATATAGTTTGTCTCGATATAATTTGGTTTAGTGAAATAATCGCCCCCAACCATACAGGGCCATATTGTCTGGCATTTTGGATTTTACTATACTATTCAAAAAAAGTAGGGGATATTTGATTTTTAAGTGTTATTAAAGTCACCTAATGAAACTGACGAAGAAACAAATGACAAAATGAAATGAAGTTCACATTCATCGATTTATTCCAAATGATCGTTAGACTAAGTAAGGCACAGACTGACCATTATAAGGGTAAAATGATACCCGGGGTCAAACAGCAAAGTTACCACAGCATCACAACCAAGTCAGTAACGGGTAAATCCTCCTCTGTTTGCCAAACAAGCATTGATCCGACGTGGCATACTCCTAATGAGACGTCTAAGGTCATTTTGGTCCAGATTGTCCCATTCCTGTTGCAACGCAGCAGCAAGTTCTTGGACATTGGCAGGACGTTGTTGACGTTGACGTAACATCTGTCCAAGCATGTCCCAGACATGCTCGATGGGGGAGAGGTCGGGACTCAGTGTTGGCCAAGGTAATGTGGTGATGTTCTGTTGTTGGAGGTAACCTGTAACGATCCTGGCCCTGTGACATCTTGCGTTGTCATCCTGGAAGATGAAACGGCGGCCATGACGTCGTGCGAACGGCACAACTTGGACTGCCAAGATGTTGTCCCGGTAGTACTGGCCTGTAACACGCCCTGCAACAACATGTAAAGCCGTTCTTCCAGCAACAGTGATGCCTCCCCACACCATAACAGAACCACCCCCAAATCGATCATGTCTGATGACGTTAACGTCTTGGAAGCGCTCGTTTCGACGACGCCACACCCTCCTACGTCTGTCCAAAAAATCAACAGTGAACCTTGACTCATCTGAAAACATCACATTGCTCCAGCGTCGATTATCCCAGTGTTGACGATCCCTACACCAACGACGTCTTGCCTGAATGTGATGATCTCTCAAACAAGGGATCACGCAAGGACGTTGGGCGCGAAGGTGACCCCTATGCAGTCGATTCCGAATCGTCTGGCCACTCACTCTCACACCAGTGTCTGTTTGAAGACGAGCGCTAATCTGATTTGCTGTGATGACACGATTTCTCAAGGCCAAGGTACGGATAAATCGATCCTGGGCTTGAGTTGTCGCCCTTGGTCGACCTGAGCGTGGTCTGTCCTGTACAGATTGTGTATCACGGTATCTGGACCATAGCCTGCTTATGACAGACTGAGAAACATTCATCGTCCGTGCCACAACCGCCTGTGTTGTGCCGATCTGTAGCATGCCAAGGGCACGTAACCTTTCATTTTGGGTAAGCCGACGCATATCAAAATTTGTTTTCTGGTCACTAAAACAATTAAACTGATGTTTCCACCCTGGAATTCAATGCCACAATGACTGTAACATTCAAAGTCAGAGTCGTGCAAATCTTGGGTTGGACCCCCATGATGATCCCAAGCATCACCTGCATTCCATGCGGTAGCTATTGGTGCGTTTGGGCGTCACATGTAACTGGAAATGTTTCTTCTGTTAGGTTCTATAGTGACTTTTTTCGTAGTCATTTGCATATTTTAGTATTATGCCCCCAAAATCAAATATCCCCTACTTTTTTTGAATAGTATATTAATTATCTAATCACCCCACAACATAATGAACGATTCTGACAATCTCATTTAAGATGGTGGAAATTGACTCTACATCCATGAAAAGCATTAAATAGACACATTACAAGCCATGCCCGATTTTTCTAAGTGATCTGTCAAGCTAAAAACATCCAAAAATCACGAAAATGGCCACAGTTGTGGAAAAAGTGGCCGCCATTTTTGGCAAGAAAATTCTTAAAATATTAAGGTGTAAGTTTGACCTCGAGTGGACTTCGGTGACGAGTAGAAACCTTAGAAATTACAAAAAAAAAGAGAAAAGTGAAACACCTTATGATTTTCTGATAATTACTTAATGAGTTGGTACAAATTATGTTATTTTCGATATTTTATTGCTTAGTTAATGATGAATAAATACTGTTATACATTTTCGAGTATTCATTCCACAAAGTTTTCAAATGCCAATAAGCAGCTTTGTTTACGTCACTTGACTTCTCGCTCACTTTTCCACCGGACCAATACCGTTAGAATTATCCCTGCTTCTGTTCAATTTCTATGCATCTTGATGAATTGTTTATTTATACGGATACTTTGATTTTCCAGAGGAATCATTGATTTTCAGATTGAAATAAATTTTAATAAAGCAGAAATATAAATAATGGCAACTATATTTTGAGAGTTCCGGTAGACTGATTATCATTCAGCTTCGCACGTGTCATGCATAGCAGTCTGTGATCCGAAAAAAATCGGTATTTGACTAAATCGATAGACACTTTTTCACATAGTAGTACCACTACTAATGTTTTATAGTTTCATATAGTATGCATTTTCAAGAAGTGTACGATTGTATGAGAAAAAACGAGTTTGCAAGGGTAAATGAACAGCATCTGGTCATAGCTATAAAAAAAAATATGCATGTCCGAAAGAACACAAACTTTTTTAAATGTTTTTTGTGCCTCCTTCAAATGTAAATATTTTTAATTTAAATAAAATATGATAATTAATATTTTGAAAATTAAAATTGCAATAAACAATATTTTTAGCAAGTCTTTGTGATAGATCTATACTTGAACCAGCTCATTAAATTTTGTTTGTAAATTCGGTACTGTATTTATTCTGAAAAAAAATTAATAATATTGACTAAAAAGTGTCAAGTGAATACTCCAGGGGTATTTCCAACTTTTTATGCATGTTTATTTTCATTTAAAACTAAAAGGTGATAAACTGGAAAGTATTGACAATTTATAAAATATCGCGATATTTTTAAAAAAATATCTGTTTCCAGGGATATCGCCCAACTCTATCTTACAGAGGGTTTGCCCCCCATCACTAATTGCAATAACACATCAGATCAACCCAATTATATCAATTATTTTGACTTGAAGAGGAAACTCCTTTAAGACATTATTTCTCTGTAAATCATATTTGGCTTAAGAAGTTTCATGTGACATAACCTTGAACTATCCTACCAGTTACAGACAGGTAGACTATTAGAGAGCAAGAATTTCTTTGGTGAACAAGATTTCAACATGGAGACGAGTGTAATACACAATAAAATAGACAAGCTGGGAAATAATGGTTTTAAAATGTTATATTTGTAGGTACTGTGATGCAGCCTAAGATGCGTAAGAAGAGATCAGTTACTAAATTAGAAATAAAAGATACCAAAGATGTTTCTAAATATTGTTTAACACATCAAGAGCCGGACTCTAGTGATGAAGTTGTTACAAAACTTTATAAGGTGAGTCTGTTGCTGTTAAGTAAACTTATAACAATGAATTCTGTATTACAAAGAACAGAGTCGTTATTCCATAAATCATCACTCTCCTCCCACTTACCATCCCACAAAAGATGATGGTATGGTCTGATTTAATCAAGAAGCCACACTGAAAAGATTATGATACTGTTGGGCAGTATTATTATTAAAGATGGGAACCAATCCAGCAAACTCAGAAATGACTAAAGTCGAAGTGTAAATAATAAATTTGTATTTATTATATTTTAGGGTGATGTTATACCAACTGCAGGAGGAGGAACTGCTGTTGTATTTAAAGATGTGGAAACACTAAAACAGACTTCTCCCGGTAACCGACGTAAACGAAGAAGTTCCTGTCCTCAACCAGTGGATTTTAATGGTGATTGGACAGATACAGAAGCCAGATGTTCCTATGGTATAGAAGGTCATGCAAAGTAAGTTTTTGAATGTTACCCAGTTTTAATCAAAATTGAATTATAATTAGTTTGGAGAAATTTATTTGACTGTTGAAGAAAGATGCAATTTTTAATTGGGTTTTGATTTTTGTACAAAATCGACATTGATTGGATCAGATCAAGTCTTTGGTTTCTACACTTGACTCTACTAGGATGTCTTCGGTTCGAGAAAAATAAATGGAATTGATTAGGGGTAACAGTAACAATTTAAATGTTATAGTATAGTAAATAATTAAATATTGTATCAATTTCTTTTTCCTTCAGGAGAACAAAGGCATCAATTGTATAGAGAGCCAAAGAAAAGGAGAAAATCAAGCAAGATGTGAACTTTGTGAGTGTGAGTGTGTGTGTGTGTGTGTGTCTCTCTCTCTCTATATATATATATAATGCAGTGACATGTACATAGAGACATATTAAAAAAAAAAAAACTAGAATAGTGCAATTATCACATCAAGCTTTTCTTATCCAATGTTACTTCTGTGTTGTGAATATTATTTTAACATTTTCATCATATTTATCAAAATGTATCTCGTAGTCTTTCAGTCATTGACACTGTATTTCAGTTTTATGATTGCATTTATTTTTTAATTTCTTCTTGTCTGTCTGTTTCGTCTATTCTTTGATCAACTGTACCAATATTTGTTTATTTCCTATTTATTGCTCTCAGTCATGACCCTTTTTGTCATTGTACTTACGTTACCTCAATCATTATTTTGGGTTTCAAATGGATTCCATTTTATGGTCCATTTTACACTGTTTCATTTCTAAGTGGATTGTATATATAATTATATTATCCTAAAGTTTTGTCAGTCTACTGGGATAAAACATAATATCTAAAAGTATAAATATGTTATTTTGTAGAAAATGAGAACCAATATTTTTTAAATTGATGTATATTAATATTATACTAGATGGCTACACATTTTCTACAATGTAACTGTAATAAATTTATATTTTATCAGTTACACTTACAGAAAACATATCCTTTTTTGTCGTTAAACAATAACATTTTTAAAATGTATATAATAAATTTTTATTTTTATACGCCCACATTTGCCCACATTTTCATGTGGACGTATATTGTCGTTGCCCCTGTCTGTCTGTCCACAATTGTTTGTGAACACTCTACAGGTCACAATTTTTATCCGATTTCAATGAAACTTGAAATATAGGTTTATCACCCTAAGATCTTGGTTCCTTTCGATATTGGCATGTATCGGACTGTAACTTCATGGATTATAGCCCCTGATTGTACGAAAAATCACATTTTTTGGCTTGTGAACACTGTATAGGTCACAAATTTTATCTGATTGGGTTTAAACTTGAAAGGTATGTTTATAACCCACAAATCTCGGTTCCTTTCGATATTCACACATATCGGACCATAGCTTCCTGAATTATGGCCCCTGATTGTACGAAAAATTGTGTTTTTAGCTTGTGGTCCCTCTAGAGGTCACAATTTTTATCCGATTTAAAAAAAACGTTTGAATATATCACCGTTACACCGTAATTTTGTCTGAGATTGAATTTCATGAAAATCGGACCAAAACTGCCAGATAAAATGGCCGCATCTCGTACGCAAATAGTGTAAAGATCTGGTATACCAAAGTTCTGGACCGTCTAGAAGTCACAATTTTGATCCGATTTCGATGCAACTTTAAATACATGTTTATAACCCAAAGATATTGGTTCCTTTCGATATTCGCGCATATCGGATTGTAACTTCCTGAATTATGGCCTATGATTGAGCAAAAAATCATGTTTTTAGGTTGTGGTCCCTGTAGAGGTCACAATTTTTTATCTGATTTATAAAAAAATGTGTGAATATATCACCATTACACACTAAGGTCTTGGTTCCTTTTGATAATCGTGGATACCCAAACTTAACTTCCTGGATTATGGTCCCTGATTGTTTGAAAAATCACATTTTTAGCTTGCAGATTCTCTAGAGGTCACAAATTTTTTCCGATTTTAAAAACCGTTTAAATACATCACCATTCCACCATAATGAAGGTTGAATTCGATTTTCGAGAAAATCGAAATGAAACTGCACGACAAAATGGCTGCTCTTTGTATGCAAATTGTGTAGAAGTATTGTGGACCCTTTAGAGGTCACAATTTTTATCCGATTTTGATGAAACTTAAAACATATCTTTATATCCTAAAGATCTCAGTCCCTTTTGATATTTGCACATTTTAGGCCATAACTTTCTGGATTATTGCCCCTGATTGTACAAAAATCGTGTTTGTTTTTAGTTTGTTCTCTATCCATCTCTTGCAAAATGTGGGCGTATCCTGCCTGGCAGCCACTGGTTTTATGTTATATTGATTAAAACTAAACTAAAAAAAAAAAAAAAAATCATACTTTGTCAATTACTTCCCTAATGATGACTGTGCATAGTTTGCTGTAATTTTTGATAGCACATATATTAGGTTAATTATTATTTTCCACAGACTTCATTTAAAATTAATTTTTAAAAATACATGTAAAAAAGAAAAACCTTGTAAATAAATGTGGCATTAATAATAGGCCGGTACTCACACTTATCTGTAGTAAAAGCCATTTCAAAATAAGATCACTTAATAAAGAGAAGTCTGAAAAATATTTTGAGTTGTTTATGGTTAATTCTGTAATATTTTTGTATTTACTATTAATTCATAACATACGTTAAAAGAATTTCATACAGTCTGTTATTAGCTGTTTTCACTATACCTTTCTATCAAAATATCTAGTCTTAATAATTGTTGATAAAATCAATATTTGTTTTCTTTTATAAATTAGAGATCCATTTATACATTTATATTAATTGACATTCTCTGGAATTAAATACTCAAATTAGGGATAACAAAAAAAAAGTGTATCCTACTATATATTGTCAATTTGATTAAATACAGATCTATATTTCATTTCGTTTTTTTATACTTTCGATGGCCTACACTATATGAAGATCTGACTGGTTGTAGCGATAAGTCGTATCAGAGGTCATACAAGCATTGATGTTACTAGTGGATTACCCACAGTTCCGTGCAAAACATGCCTAAAGCTGGCCGTAGCAGACAGTTTCATTAGCTATACCCCACATCATTCAAAACAATAACTACTCTTCCAGATCCTAGTTTAATAAAACGAAATTTTGAACTATGAAAACGAAACTAAATAGGATCTGTGTTTTAATCAGATTGATATATTGTATAATTTGTATTAGAACAGGTGTATATCGTACTATCAAATTATGGTTTGTAAATATGTATATTGAGCACAATAAAGCATTTATATATTCATACATATCCAAGAGAAATTATTATTTTGGATTTTTGGAGATCAAAAATTGGCCATTTGTTTTCCAAATAACCTATGTTAAAGGGGCATTATATTAGATTTAGATAAAGAGCTGGCCATTCTCACTATAATATTTCTAAATAAATAATGCAAAATGAATATATTGAAAATTTCATTAAATTACCTTATTTTGAGCAAAGTTATCAGTTGTTGTAGTTTTGACAAGAATTGTGCATAGGTTGTAACCACCGTACTGATCATTCGAGTCTTGGCCTTGCTTCCCATTTTTAAATTATATCATTAAATGGCCAAACTGAACTGAAAATTTCATTCAAATTACTTCATTCTGATCCCAGTTATTACTGTTTGTAGTTTTGACAGATGTGTGCATAGTGGTAACCAGGGCACTGGTATATTCGAGACTTGGCCTCGCTTTCCCATATTTTCATGTGGGCGTATATTGTTGTCGCCCCAGTCCGTCCGGACGTCCATAATTTTGATCCAATTTTGGTGAAACTTGAAATGCATGTTTATAACCCAAATATCTTGTTTCCTTTCGATATTCGCGCATATCAGATCGTAACTTCCTGAATTATGACCTCTGGTCGTACGAAAAATTGTGCTTTTAGCTTGTGACCCCTCTAGAGGTCACAATTTTTATTCGATTTAAAAAAACGTTATAGTATATCACCGTGACACCCTAATGGTTGAGTTCGAATTTCGTGAAAATGGGACCAAAACTGTCGGACAAAATGGCCGCCCTTTGTATGCAAATAGTATAAACATCTGGTATATCAAGGTTGTGGACCTCCTAGAGATCACAATTTTGATGAAACTTGGAAGTGCATGTTTATAACCCATAGATCTTGGTTCCTTCCGATATTCGCGCATATCGGATCGTAACTTCCTGAATTATGGCCCTTGATTGTACGAAAAATCGTGTTTTGAGCTTGTGGTCCCTATAGAGGTCACAAATTTTCATCCGTTTTAAAAAAAAAACGTGGGAATATATCACAGTTATACACTAATGATGGTTAGTTTGAATTTCGTGAAAATCTGACAAAAATGACGGACATAATGGCCGTCCCTTGTATGCAAATAGTGTAACATTATGGCAAATCAAGGTTGTGGACCCTTTAGAGGCCACAGTTTTTATCCGATTTGGATGAAACTTTAAATAATGTTTTTATCATAAAGATCTTAGTTCCTTTTGATAATCACACATATCCCCTGAGTGGTCGAAAAATCGCATTTTTGGCTGGTGGATTCTCTAGAGGTCACAATTTTTTTTATCCGATTTCAAAAACCCTTTAAATATATCACTATTCCACCATAATGAAGGTTGAGTTGGAATTTCGGGAAAATCAAAATGGACCCTCTAGAGGTCACAATTTTTATCCGATTTTGATGAAACTTAAAACATATCTTTCTATTCCAAAAATCTCAGTCTCTTTTGATATTTGCGCATTTCAGACCATAACTTTCTGAATTATGGCACCTGATTGTACATCGTTTTTAGCTTGTTCTCTATCCATCTCTTGCAACATGTGGGCGTATCCTGTCTGGCAGCCGCTGGTTTCAAAAGTATCAAGCAATCGAACTGATTATCAATTATACACTAAGTTTCATCACTCTATATCAGATAGAATCAAAGTTATCTTGTCCCAAAGCATCGACCAATGAAATTTCTTAGCTCTGCTTAGCTTTAGCTCGAAATGATAATCATTGAACTCAGTCAAGACATTCACCTAATGAACATCTACATCAAGTTTAAACATTCTACCTTAATTAAAAGTAGAGTTGTTATGTTCCAAAGTCTTGGCCAATCAAATTGCTTATGGCTCCTTAGCCTAAGCAGAAAATTCTCATCATCGAACTTAGTCAAGGTAATGATATAATGAATATATACTCAGAGTTTCATCACTCTCGCTTAATTAAAACCAAAGTTATCGTGCCCCAAAGCATCAACCAATCGGATTATCTCTGCTTACACCAAGTTTGAACATTCTACCTCAATTAGAAGGAGAGTTATTGTGTTCCAAAGTATCGCTCATCTTACCCTGAGCAGAAAATGCTCACTATCGAACTTAGTCAAGGTATTGATGTGATAAAACTATACACCAAGTGTCCTCACTCTCACTTAATTAAAACTAATGTTATCGTGTCCCAAAGCATCAACCAATCGAATTCTCTGCTTACCCTAAACAGGCAATTCTCCTCTTCGAACACCATCAGGGCATTCAGGCATTCACCTAATAAACACCTACGCCAAGTGTGAACATTCTAGCTCAATTAGAATGAGAGTTATTGTGTTCCAAAGTCTCGACCAGTCAAATTGCTTATCGCTCCGCTTACCCTGAGCAGAAAATGCTCATTATCGAACTTAGTCCAGAGATTGATGTAATGAAACTATACATCTAATTTCATCACTCTCACTTAATTAGAACTAAAGTTATCATGTCCTTAAGCATCAAGCAATCAAATTGCTTATCTCCGCTTACCCTAAGCAGAAAATGCTCATCTTCGAAATCCATCAAGGCAAAGACCTAATAAACACCCGCACCAGGTTTTAAACTATATAGCTCAATTAGATGGAGAGTGATTGTGTTCCAAAGTCTTGGCTTATCAAATTGCTTATCGCTCTGCTTACCCTGAGCAGAAAATGCTCATTATCGAACTTTATAGTCAAGGTATTGATGTAATGAAACAAAACTCCAAGTTTCATCACTCTCACTTAATTAGAACTAAAGTTATTGTGTCCCAAAGCCTCAACCAATCAAATTGCTTATATCGGCTTACCCTAAGCAGAAAATGATCATCTTCGAACTCCATCAAGGCATTGGCCTAATAAACATCCACACCAAGTTTGAACATTCTAACTCAATTAGAAGGAGAGTTATTGTATCCCAAAAAGTGTGACAGACAGACTGACGGACGGACGAACCCGTTTTAATAGTCACCTGCTTTCTTCGAAAGGCGGGGGACAATAAGCAGTCCAAAAATGAGACATTTATCTTTATAAGTGCCAGAGATATGTACAGGCTGCATTTTTTTAACTTTTAGTTTTCTCTTGTTTATTACATTCCCTAACCACTTGTACCATTTTCAATTCAATAGCTTTATAATTTAAAAAAAAAACATTTTTCGAGTAGCCTCTTATCTTATGGTATTATGTGTATGGTTTCGATACATCTCGGTAATCCTGTTTCATCTTTTAATTGTATATAATAAGCTTATCCTAGTATACACGATTTTGGAGATATCGCTTTACATGAATTTGATTGATAAGTTGAAAAGGAACTACTTTTTTTTTTCAAAGAACAGTTCATTTCTTATTAAAAGTAACTCTTTTTTTTTTTTATCAAAAATGAACTATTGTTATTCAATTGACCTTGATGGAAATAAAGGACTTTGCAATTGTTGAATTGCTGTCAAAAAATGACGTATCACTACGCCGTAATGTTCAGTAAAAGTGAAATCTACAGCAAAGAATTATATTTATCTATTTGTGCATGTAAGAAGGGATTGGGTCATAAATTAAATCTCCTACTCGTACGTCTTTTTTGATATCAAAAAAGACTGGTAGGAGATTCTCTATATGCACCTTTGTTTCACCAATAGCTTGTGATAGCTACTCATGTTCACTTTCCTTGCATACCATTGGGTAGTTCGCACTGATGTTTGTATATATATATATATATTCATATTTCTCATTTTTTATCTATTTGTGTATATGCTTGATTACGACTTGTGAAATCTTGTTGAAACGTCGCAGTGAAATAAACCATAGTAATTGTCATTCCATAAAAGTGTGTTTCTTTGATCTTTGAACGATTACAAGACAGAATTTTATACAGGATACACATTAGCGTGCACGTAAAAGATTCCTTGGCTGTCGGAATTTGATATAAAAGTAGTCGAGGCAAAATTTCACTCATAGCACAATGTATGGCATATACCCGTCTTCATCCCTTAGCAAACAGTCCTACAGAATACCAGTGTAGTATTGTATATAATTCTATAGAAAAACTATAGAGTTTTTTTTTTGGGTGGGGGGGGGGGCGTGTCCCATTTTCTATAGGATAAAATTCTATAGTATTCTACAGAATTTTGGGGGCCTGTAGGAAATAACGGCCCCAAATATTCTATAATTTCTGTAGCGCACATCCTATAGTTTTTCCTACAGATTTATGGCAAAATTTCTATAGGAAAATATTATAGTATTCTATAGGTTTTTTTTTTATTGCACTTTCTGTAGGAAATTCTACAGTTATGTATAGGAATGAATACTGTAGTAGTCTGTAGTTTGAAAATTGGGTCACTATAGTTTTCAGTAGGAATGGGTACTATAGAATTCTATAGACTTTTTTTTTATTAAATCTTATTTTGGGAGTAAAACTATTATATAGTTGGCCCATGATTTCTTCTAAATTGATAAGCTTATTTTTCTCTCATGATTCTTCTAAATTGATAAGCTTATTTTTTCTCTCATGGATAAATCTGAATTCTGTTGATGATTCACCAACCAGAACCCTGAAAAGTTTTTTTTCTTGGTATAACTGAAATATAAGGAAAAGAATAGGTAATAAAGTTAAATAAATAACAAAATCACATAAATATTATCTAATTAAAGTAATTTAATATTATTGTTAAGAAACTTATCTTTCTATCTTTAATCGAATCTGTGAAAAAAAATAGCACCATTCTCTTCAGCTTCTTGTTAATACTAACATATTAAGTTGTTATACACTGAATTTTTGAATTTAAAATTAAATTCAGCCAATGGCCAAACAGATTTCAAGAGAGTACATTGGCTGTTAATTATAATTTGTTGACAGGTATAAACGGCTGACCTGGTGACTTGAACAAATTATATAATTTGAGTACAGAATCTGCTATAGTCATTAAGATCTAACTAGCAGGATCAAATAACAGTCAGACTGCTGTGTTCTAAATAAACTTTGTCTTTATTTCATTGACTTATCTGAAGAATAATTTATTATCTG